GCTAATTTTTTATGTAAACCTAAAACCGCTCTAAAAATTAGTCTATTGATTGAAAAAAAACTACTAAAAAAAAAAAAAACCCACCCAGCTTTTGCCCCTGCAGGACATCTGTATATGGTGGAGGAGTACATGGACTTTGGAGCCAGACTGCTTGTCAGATCCCGGCTCTGCCACTTACTAACGGTGGTGGGCAGCCTCCAAGATCCCTGCCTCCTGCTGGTCTTGGCCTGTACAGTCCCCGCCCACACACTGAATAGAGCTGGCTCATGTGCCCAATAGGATATGTGGAAATGACGGTGTGTGATTTCTGAGGTGAGGTTATAAAAGGCACTGTGGCTCTCTCCTTGTCCTTTCTCTCGGATCTCTCAGTCTGAGAAATGCCAGTTGCCATATTGTGAGGATGCTCAAGTAGCCCTATGGAGCCACAAGGGGAGGGACTGAAGCCTCCCACCAACGACCACCACCAACTTGCCAGCCTTGTGAATGAGCCACCTTGGAGGTGGATCCTCCCGTCCCATCCAAGCCTTCAGATGACTGCAACCCCAGCTGACTGTAACCTCATGAGGTAAAAATGTCATTTTACCTCTGGCATCATCCTCCCAAAACCCATAGCCCAACAAGTATAATCATGAATATAATCCTAAGTATAATTCTTCCTCCCCCCCTTTCACCTCCCCGCTGAGCCAGATCCACCCAGCTAAGCTGCTCCCAGATTCCTTACCTACTGAAACTTTGAAAGATAATAACTGCTTATTAAGTCTCTAAATTTTGGGGGTAATTTGTTTCACAGCAATAGATAACTAACGTACTAACTCTGGAGTAGGCAAATATTTTTTCTGTTAAGAACTAGATAATAAACATTTTAGGCTTTGCAGGCCACATACAGTGTCTATTGCATATTTGTTCCCCAACCCTTTAAAAATGTGAAAAACATTCTTAGCTCCAGGTCTGTACAAAAACAGGCCATGAACCAGCCTGCTTTCCTTCCTTCCTTCCTTCCTCTCTCCCTCCCTGCTTTCTTTCTGTGTATTAATTTTAGACAAATATGGAGAGGCAAACGAGAGCCCACTGCAGGAGGAAACACAATCACCCAGAGGGGGTCAGCTGGCCAGACCACCTGGATATTAAGTGGGGGTTTCTTTGGATATGAAGCCCACTTCAACATTCGACAACTGAAAGGAGGAAATGACAGATTACTCCCAGGTCCTGGAAGGGTGCAGGCACACAGAGGTCACATGGGGGCTGCTGAGGGGAGAATCAGAGAGAGACCAAACAGATCTGGGCTCAGCCTTTAATAGGGTCCGAGGGGAGAGTACACTTTATTTCTCGGGCTCAGGAACTATTGCCTGATTCAAAGCAAGTGGCAGGAAACTGGGGGTCTGGGGACACGAATTTGTCAGAGAGGGCATGAGCTCCTTATCTGGATTCCCAGATGTGATGTTTGGTTGAGGGAAAGGGAGAGCCAGCTAGGGGAGGAACTGCTTCAGGACTGTTATCTGGGATTTTGCATGTGGGTGTGAATTGATTAGGAAGTCGAGCAGGCCCACTATTTTGAAATAAGTATTTAAGCAGAGGCTGGAACAAAAGGGATGCCAAGGCATTAGAAAATGGAGTTTGGGCTCCTTCCTTCTCTTTCTCCCTCCTTCTTTCCTTCTTCCCCTTTCTCCCTCCCTCCCTCTTACTCTCTTTCCTTCCTCCCTCCCATCTCTCTCTTTCTTTCTCTCTTTCATTCATTTAGAAATCGAGCATCTATTATGTGCCAGGCCCTGAGTGAGCTGCTGTAATTATATCCATGACTCAGACAGCCTCCCTGTTCACCTGGGGCTCCCAGCCCAGTGAGGGAGCAGGCAGCCAAGATGTAAACAAAGAATCTAGTATATAATTCTGTACAGTGACATTTGTTCTGAAGGAAACAAGCAGGTTGCTGGGAGAGAGAACCTGGGGAAGGGGCCTATCTCCTTTAGCCAGGGTGGTCAGGGAAGGCCTCTCTAAGTGGAGACTTGAAGGATGAGAGGAAGCAGGAAAGAAGGTTTTGGGCAGGAGGGAACAACTTATGCAAAGGCCCAGGGGCAGGAAAGAACTTGTGGTATCTGAATACCAAGGAGCATGGCTGGATCGGAGTGAGTTGAGGGAGGGGCATGGGATCAGGGAGGTGACAGGCAGGCAGTGCAGAGTCTTGAGGGTCACAGTGTCAGAGTGATGGGAGCCTGGGAGTGTTTTGAGTAGGGGGTACATAACCTGATTTTCTTCTCTGGCTGCTGGATTCTAGCAGCTCCACTCCCTCCCCATGGCCATCTTGCCTGGATCATTGATAGTAAGCCTGCTGTTGTTAGCTGTTGTTGAGTCAGCCTCTGACTCACAGTGACCTCATGTACAATGGGAGTAGGCCGTTGTAACCCATAGGGTTTTCACTGGCTGATTAATTGGGACTAGATTGCCAGGCCTTTCTTCCTAGTCTGTCTTAGTCTGGAAGCTGTGCTGAAGCCTCTTCAGCATCACAGCAACACTCAAGCCTCCATTGACAGATGGGTGGTGGCTGCACATGAGGTGTATTGGCTGGGAATTGAGCCTGGGTCTCCCACATGGAAGGTGAAAATTCTACCACTGAACCACTACTGCTAGATAGTAAGGCTTTGTTGTTGTTAGGTGTCACCGAGTCAGTTCCGACTCATAGCAACCCTGCGTACAACAGAACGAAACACTGCCCAGTCCTGCACCATCCTCACGATCATTGCTATGCTTGAGCCCATTGTTGCAGCCACTGTGTCATTCCATCTCATTGAGGGTCTTCCTCTTTTTTGCTGACCCTCTACCAAGCATGATGTCCTTCTCCAGGCACTGGTCCCTCCTGATAACATGTCCAAAGTACGTGAGACGAAGTCTCGCCATCGTTGCTTCTAAGGAGCATTCTGGCTGTACTTCTTCTGAGACAGATTTGTGCGTTTTTCTGGCAGTCCATGGTATATTCAATATTCTTCACCAGCACCATAATTCAAAGGCATCAGTTCTTCAGTCTTTCTTATTTGATGCAGGAAGTGTCAAAAGAAGATGAATAGTAAGGCTAATGAACATTTATTGAATACTTCCCATGGACTGGGCACTCACAACAGCTCTTTGGGGGAAGTAATGTTTGAGATGAGGTCACTGAAGCACAGAGAGGTGAGTAACCAGGCTAAGGTAACACAGCCAGAAAGAGATGGAGGCAGAATTTGAACCCAGGCAGCCACCACCATGCTATCCTGCGGCACCATGGCCCCAGCCTCCTCCCCAGGCTTCCTAGCAGAACTCAGTTTCTGTCCTTCAGCCAGTGGGGCCTTTCTGCCTCAGGGCTGGTCAGTCTGTCTCCTGCTCAAACACTTTCTGTGGCTTCCTGCTGCCCTTGATAAGGGTCAAGCCTTTTAGCCTGGCATGCAAAGTTCAAAGTCTGCCCACCTCACAGCCTCCCCAGCCCCATCTCGCTCTTCCTTTCCCTCCCTCACACCCTGAGTTCAAGCCTCTTGGATACCTTGCAATTGCTCCAGTCTCCTTGGTGGCTCCAGATCCCCACACAGGCTGCTGCCTTGGCTTGGCAGGTCCCCATCCCCTAGCCCACATGGGTAAAACTCATTCATCCTCCCCTGGCCCTCCTCTTCCCCACCCCCCATCACTTGGGCTTCTCCCATCAAAGCTCCCATCACTGCAAGCTCCTTGAAGGTAGGGAGCAAGTGTGAGCCTTCAGGGCCAGGTGTGAGTAGGGAGCCAAATTCATTCATTCATTCATACGTTCCACAGTCATTTCCTGAGCACCTTCTGTGCGCCAGCCCCTGCTGTAGGAACTGGGAATACAGTGCTGAATAAGACAGACAGGACCCCTGTCTTCAAGGAGCTGACTTTCTGGGAACACTCATTTAACAATCATTCATTAAGTATGGTATGCGACGTACTTACAAGTGCTATGAAGAGAGTAAAGCAGGGCAAGGGGAAAGAGTGATGAAAGGGGGGTCTATTTTAGGTATTGTGGTCAGTAAGGTTGTGTGTTGACTTGGCTGGGCCATGATTCTTAGTGGTTTGCAGTTGTGATATAGTTTGGCAGTCGCATAATGATGTAGTCACCTCCATGATGAGATCTGATATAATGTGATCACCTTCATGATGGCCATAATGGGATCTGTTGTGAGTAGCCAGTCGGCCGAGTCGGGGGTTTCCTTAGGGGTGTGGTCTGCATCCAATATGAGTGGACTTTCTGGCAAAGCTTGCAGGGTTTTGCTAGCTCTGGGTCCTGCAGCTTGCTCCTGTTCATCTGACCTCCGGTTCTTGGGACTTGAGCTAGCAGCTTACCTGCCCTTCCGATCTTGGATTCACCAGCCCCTGTGGCTATGTGAGTCAGGAGAAGCCTCCAGCCTGACCCACGGACTTGGGACTTTCCAGTCTCTACAACCATGTGAGCGATTTCCTTGATATAAATCTTTCTCTATAGATATCTATATATATACGTAGATGCTTCACTGGTTTTGCTTCTCTAGAGAACTCAACCTAAGACAGGTATGTTACTAAAAGTCTCTTTGAGGAGGTGACATTTAAACAGAGCCCAAATAAGGGAAAGTTTTGCATGCTCAGCTGCTAATTGAAAGGTTGGAGCTTCGAGCAATCCAGAGGCACCTCAGAAGAAAGGCTTGGCAATCTACTTCCAAAAAATCAGCCATTGAAAACCCTATGGAGTGCAGTTCTACTCTGACATGCATGGGGTCGCTATGAGTCAAAATTGACTTGACCGTACTGGTATGAGAGCCATGCAGGTATCTGAGGGAAGGGTGTACCCAGGAGAGGGGCAGTGAGTGCAAAGGCCCTGAGGTGGGAACAACTTGGGTGTTGGAAGGACACAAAAAAGGCCTGTGTAGCTGGAACAGAGTGAGTGAAGGGGAGAGAGGGAGGAGACAGGCCCAAGCAGAGTCAGGGCAGGTCATGCAGGATCCCTGCTGAATGCTGGAATGAAAAAAATGTCAGAGTTTGGGTATGATGTTCAATGCTCTTTATTTGGGGTGGAACTCAGTGGCCCAGGCCAGGTTGGAGATACCGCTCTGAGAGCAGCAGAGGCCTTAAGGTCTCAGGTCTGGCAGCCGTGGGTGTGCATATATTCCGAAAATCCCTCCAGCTGAGCCAGAAATTCCTTCTTGCCCGCATCCTGGTCTGCTGGCCAATGCATGATGAACGTCTCCTTGCCCAGGACGTGGGTGTAACTGTGGGAGGGAGACAGCAAGGAGGGTGAGAAGAACCTGGTGCCCTGGGGAGCTTGGGCGCCCACCCTGCCTTGCCCCTTTGCCCCACCTGGCAGCTTCCCAGAGCCTCAGCCTAGCCATACAGCTCCTACCTGGGAATTAGAAAAGGCACCCCTTCCTCCTACTCTTTACTGCCCTGTGTCGGAAAACTGAGACAGTGAATTAAAAAAAAAAAAAAAAAAAAACTCAAAAAACCCATTGCCTGGAGTCAGTTCCGACTCATGGCGAACTCATGTGCTTCAGAGTAGAACTGAGCTCCATAGGGTTTTCTTGGCTGTAATCTTTACAGAAGTAGATCGCCAGGCCTGTCTTCCACGGTGCCACTGGGTGGGTTGGAGCTGCCAGCCTTTAGGTTAGCAGCTGAGTGCAGACACTTTGTGCCACCTAGGGAGAGACCTTAGTGAAGACCCACATCTAAAACATCTCTGTGTGAATGGTGATCCTTGGAGTTGAACAGTGCACAGCCTGCATCTCCATTCAGGGTGGCCCTGACAACCCGGGACCCAGCAGAAACTGTGGAGCCAAGAGCCAGGCCTGGGTGGGGAAAGAGGCCCAGGCCTGTGGTCCTAGGGCAGCAGGAGCCCCCACGCACTCAGATCTGACTCGCCACAGGTCTGTCGTCTGGCCCATGATGAGGTACGCCTGCTGTTCTTGCAGCCCCAGGGAGTCTTGGCAGGTGGCGTGGGAGACAAATTTCTTCATGGTAAGGGGCTTGGCAAAGTCTGTGCCTGGAGGAGACCCAGCGTCTGAGCCTACACAGGCCAGGACCCCCTACACTGGGACCCCGGAGGGTAGCCGCCCACCCCTCCTCCGCTGCCACGGGGACCTACCACTCTTAATGATGTCCTGGAGCTGCATGTTGTAGTAGACGTATGGGTTGGAGTCGGAGACCTCCACAGACTTCACCCCGGCCTTGTACACTGGGGGAGGGGCAGGAGGGGCGTGGTTGGCGTCGGGCCTGTGGCTGGGCCTGCCTGCCCCCCCACCTCTTGCCACACTCACCAAAGTCCACGCCTGGCTCACAAGCCGCTACCTGGAGCTCCGTCTGCCTCAGCTGGCCTTTCCTCAGCGACGCGCACTGTTCTGGAGGGTCGGGAGGCCGCTGCCAGGCTGCACCGGTGGCGGGGGCTTCCCCTGCCCGGCCCCAGGTCCGCGACTCCCGGGTCTAGGGGACTGGCCTTTCTGGTCTGGAGGACTCTAACTCATCCCCACCCCCGTTAAGTTTTTTTCATGTCTGTCTCTCCCATCCGAGGCTCTTTGTGTCTCTCTCCGAGTCTCCGTCTCACTTGATGTTGGCTCTCACTGTGTGTCTATCTCTTTCTCTCGGTGTCTCCTTGTCTCTGTCCCTCTTCGTCTCTGTCTTCCTCTCTCTCTCTCTCTCTCTCTCTCTCTCAACTCAGCCCTCAGAGCAGACAGGAGGTGGCAAAGGGCTTCTGGCCCCCCAGCCTGGTAGCCCTGGCCCCCGAGTCCCCGCGAGCCTCACCCTCCGCACATCTGCAGACGTCTTTGTGGCAGATCTTCCGCAGAAACGATTCCTTCGTGGGCAGGTTGTAGAAGGCGCTGCACTTCAGGGCTGCGGCGGGGGATGCGCGGGGTGGGTTTGAGCAGGCGTTTCTGGGGACTGGGGCCCGCCTGGCCCCGCCCCGGCAGACTCTACCCTCCTTTGCCCTACCCCTCCCCTTCCCCTTCCCTCTCCTCCCTCCTCCCTCCCAAGGGCTAGGCCCAGGCTCCCTCTTAGCCCCGCCCTGTCCCTGGCCTGGCTCCTCCAGGCCCTTCCAGACCTTTCCCACTGCCTGGTCCCGGCCTTTGCAGGCCAAGTCCTGCCTGGTCTTGCTCAGCCCTCTCCTGGATGGGACCCTCCCCTTCCAAGGCCCCGCCCCTTCTTCCTCCACCGCATCCCCAGTCTCGACCCAACCTCTTCCTTCCTAGCCCCGCCCACCTTGACCCCTCCCTCCGAAAGGCCCCACCCCTTCAGGCCCTGCCCCTACGGCCCCGCCCCGTGCTCTTCTTCCCCAGTTCCTGGCAGGCCGTGCCCAGGTCCCACTCAGCAGCGCCCTGACCCCCCTTCTTGGTCTTGTCCCTCATCCCCCGCCCCCCATGTTTCTGGCCCTGTCCTTGACAGGTCTCGCTCCCTCGAGAGATGCCTCTCCAGCTCCAGGCCCCTGCTCACAAGGCTCGTAGTAATCGTAGACAGTGACCAGGGCGGCCTGCAGGAACTCCGCCTGCAGCATCCTGTGAACCCGGAAGCCCAGCACTGTGTTATACTCGTGGGAGAGCTGGGGGAGAGAAGTCCTGCCTGAGTTGACCGTGGGACACTGACTTCGTCGCACTGACCACAGGGCATGATCATGGTCATTGGCCACGATCACTGACCACGTGAGCTTGACTACAGGCATCGATCGGCCATGGGGCGTTAACAAGACCTCTTACCATGGGGCAATGACCACAGGGCTTTGGTCATGGAGAAGGGACCGAGAGGAGCTGATCTCAGAGGACTTGCCTCTTGTGGGATTGACCCCAGGAGACACCACCCAAGGGACTGCCCTTGGGTTCCTTGCCCACTGGGCTGCCCCCAGGCCTCTGCAGAGGGCACCAGGCCTTCCTCACCTTGTCCAGATAGAGGACCACGGTGCTGTCGCTGGAGCTTGTCTTCGTCTCATACTGGTAGGCGTACATCTCCACTTCACTGGTGAGCTGGGGCAGAGGAGGTGATTGGGAGTTGGCAGAGACCCTCTTGAGATCCCCAGCCCTAGGAGCTCCAATCAGCATGAAACAACTCCCAGGAGAGACACCAGCTCTCATCCAATGAGCTCCAGTGTTGAGGAAACTGAGGCCCAATCAGGGCAAGGGCTTGGCTAAGATCACGCAGGGAGTCACCAAAAGGCATGAACCCGGGGGCCTTGACATGGGGTAGATGCTGCCCTGTACCCACACAGGGGAGAGGGATGATGTCAGGGCCCCCCACCCTGGCTCACCAGTGGGCACGTGGGGCGAGTGTTACCTGCTTAAGGTCATCCTGGTTGGCGTAGAAGCCGGTAAGCAGAGAGACCTCCATTATGGTCATTGTGGCCTCTTGATCACCCAGAAACCTGGGGATTTCACAGTCCCAGTCTTTTTTCCGACTGTCCTCCTGCCCTCTCCCCCACTGCCTCCACTCTGTGCCGAGCTGCCATCATCTCTAGCCTGGGCTAGTGTAGCAGCCTCCTTCCGGGTGTCCCTGTCTCCACTCTGCCCCCAACAGCAGGGAGCTTTAGCAATCACAAATCTGGTATGTCACCTCCTTTACCAAACACCTTGTCTTGGGCTCCATACCCCTCTACCTCACCTCCTCTCACCCCAACCTCTATTTGCTTGCTCTTAAGTGACTGTCTCTCTCCTGCCACAGGGCCTTTGCACATGCTCTCTCTCAGCCTGGAATCCTTTTCCCTCTGTCTTTGCCCTGAAACACCTCCTCATCTTTGCTGTCTCAGCTGCCACATCATTCCCTCTGGGAAACTTTCACCACCTGCCCACCAGGCTAGTTCCTCTAACTTGCCCTCCCATGGCTTCTCCAAGGCCCTCTCTGCCACATTTAATCACAGTCGGGTGATTATTTGGTTATTGTCTGACTTCTCTGCTAGGCTGTGAGCCCTGCTAGGGAAAGGAGGGGCTGCCGTGCTCACAGCTGTGTCCCAGCTTCTAGAGCAGAGCCCAGCACACAATAGAGGCTTAGTCTATTCTTTCCAGATGCCCTCAAGTCAACTCCAATTCATGACAACCCCATGTCGTGTCAGAGTAGAACTGTGCTTCATAAGGTTTCCGATGACTGATTTTTGGGAAGTGGATCACCAGGACTTACTTCTGAGGCACCGCTGGAAGAACTCAAATTTCCAACCTTTCAGTTAGCAACGGAGCATGTTAATCATTTGTACCACCTAGGGACTCTAGATGTTCAATATATGTTTGTATCTGGGGCAGACCTGGGCAGGGATGCTTGAGGGACAGAGCCAGACTAGGGTGGGAGTGTCTGGAGAAGATCAGATCTAGGGAGAGCTGTGGGCCTTGGTGCCAGCTGTGGGCATCTGGTTCATGGAGCACGTTGGTGCATTGAAGGCTGCCATTCTGGGACACACGTGCATGGCAGGATGGGGGACTGGATAGACGGCAGGAGTGGGGTACTCATGGGAAGGCAGGATGGGGGCAGGATGGAGGACAGGAGGGGGGATACTCATGGGAAGGCAGGATGGAGGGCAGGATGGAGGGCAGGATGGAGGGCAGAATGGGGGATACTCATGGGAAGGCAGGATGGAGGGCAGGATGGAGGGCAGGATGGAGGGCAGAATGGGGGATACTCATGGGAAGGCAGGATGGGGGGCAGGAGGGGGGCAGGAGGGGGGATAGTCATGGGAAGGTAGGATGGGGGGCAGGATGGAGGACAAACATGGGAGGGCAGGATTGGGCACAAGATGGGGGAAAGGGGGAGGGACAGGCTGAGGGCCTGAAGAGCCCCAAGCCCGAGGGTTGGCTGATTGCTGCCCTCCATTCAGCACACAGGGAGGGCTGCTGTGGAGTCTGGAAAACAGCGTTGCGCCCTCCTCCCACCCAGCTCAAGATCCCAGTGTCCCCACCTAGTTTCCATCCGGAGCCGGAAGGTGTCCTCCCCCTTTTTCTTCTCTGCAGAAAGAAAGCAGGAGTTTAGAGGCTTGGTAGTACAGTGGTTATGTGCGCAGCCTCTGGAGCCAGCTTCCTGGGTTCAAATCCTAGCTCCTCTATGTGATTACGGGCAAGAGGCTTAACCTCTCCGTGCTTTGGTTTCTTCGTCTGTAAAATGGAGATCATAACAGCACCAACCCGACAGGCTTGTTGCAAGGATTAAATGAGTTGATATAAGTAAAGCGCTTGGTCAGTGCTACATAAGTGTTAGTTGTTGTTATTATTATGAGGAAATGGGGCCTAAACCAAAGCCTCAGTCACTTTTAGTTCCTAAAAGTCCTGGTAAGGCCTATCTTCACCTCCACAGGGAGCTTCCAATGGCAGGGTTCTTTCTCCTTGGTACCCCAGTCTGGGAACTCTAGAATGCCACCATCTGTGACCATCTCCACAGCCCCATTTTGGTCAAACCCCCATCATTTCCCTCCTGACCCTGTGCAATCAGCTCCTCCCTGGTTTCCCAGCTCCACCCTCACCCCCCACAGTTTGTTTCCTCCACAGCAGCCAGAGGGCATCTGTGAACATCTGAGGCAGGTCACATTCCTCCTCTGTGCAGAACACTCCATGGCTCCCACCTCACTCAGAGCTAAAGTCCAAGTCCTCACTAAAGCCTACAAGTCTCTTCATCTTCCCCGTCACCTCTCCAACTCTTTCTCCTACAACTTTCTTTCTTGCTCCTCTCTAGCCACACTGGCCTTGCTGTTCCTCATGAGCTCATCCCTGCCTCAGGGCTTTTGCACCTGCTGTTCCACCTGCCTGGAATGCTCTTCCCTCAAACGCTTCATGGCTCACTCCCTCACCTCCTTCATGTCTCACCCAAAATGGCACCTCTGCAGAGAGCTTCCCTTGCCTCTCCTCAAGTTTTGGAATCGACAGCAACGGGTTTGGTTTTTGTTTTTCCGATTTTATTTTGTACGCTACTTATCTTCACCTGTTATAACACTATATATTTATTTGTTTATAATAAAGATTTATTTACGTTATAAATAAATAACAGCATGAGTATAATATATCGTTAGCTGTGTATTACTGTTTGTCTCTCCCTCTAGAATGTGGGCTCCAGGAGAAGGAGGATATTTTTCTTGTTCGTGCCTGTGTTCCCAGTGCCAAGAGACAGTGACTGGCACTTGGTAAATGCTCAGTAAATATTCATTGAATGGCTGAATAAAGCAATAATAATAATAAAAAACATAGTTGTTATCGAGTCGACTCCGACTCATGGCAATCCCACGTGTGTCAGTGTAGAACTGTGCTCCATAGGGGTTTCAATGGCTGAATTTTGGGAGGTAGATCTCCAGGCCTTTCTTCCAAGGCAACTGTGGGTGGACTCAAACCTTCAATCTTTCAGTTAGCAACTAAGCACGTGTACTGTTTACACTACCTAGGGACTCCGAATAAAGCAATAAGTGTGCATAATGCATAGGACATTTTTGGTGATTGATAGCTAAAATAAAACTATGAAAAAGAAGGATTGGGTGTCTCTGGGTCTAGGCTCGATAGGAGCCCTGGTGGCACAGTGGTTAAGAGCTTGGCTGCTAACCGCAAGGTTGGCAGCTTCTCCATGGGAGAAAGATGTGGTAGTCTGCTTCTGTAAAGATTACAGTCTTGGAAACCCTATGGGGCAGTTCTACTCTGTTTTATAGGGCTGTTATGAATTGGAATTGACTCAATGGCAACCTGGTCTAGGCTTACCTTCTGGGGCACTGTGGAGGGTCACATTCAGGTTGTACTGGTTGCAGACGTCCTCCTCGGACTCCAGGATCGTGTGGTACATGGTCAGCATCTTCCCGGACAGGGAAGGGGCATGTCAGAGCCCGTCCGCACCCTCTCCCCTTCCTCTTCACTCCAGTCCTTGTCTTCCCAGTTCTCTGCCCATGTGAGGAATTCACAGTGCAGTCTGCCCCCTCGATTCCTGGGTGCAGTGGCCAGAATATTCTCTAAAGTCTAGACCAGCTCTGTCTAGTGGAACTTCCTGTTATGATGGACGTGGTCTCTGTGTGCTGTGTAGTAGGGTAGCCACTAGCCATGTGTGGTTACTGAGCACTTGAAATGTGGCTAGTGTGACTGAGGAACTGGATGTTTTGTTTTATTTCATTTTAACTAATTGAAATTTAAATTTCACTGAGGCTCAAGGAGGGATGTGACTTGCCCAGGGTCACATAATAAAGTTGGAATTTCAACCATGACTCCATATCCTGAACCGTGTCAATAGGTTGCCCTGAATTTGGTTAACAAATGGGCTGTTCTCCTGGGCTAGAGGGTCTGGGGCTGGAAAATGTAGCGAGGCTACGGGCTCAAATTTTGGGGGAAGGGTAGAGCTATCATCTGGGCCTTGGGAGGCATCCTGCAGGGAGAGTCTTTTCCTGGGGAGGCAAAGAAGGAGACACCTCCTCAGGGAGTCAGCATAGGAGGGGCAAACCAAAGAACCAAACCAGTTCCTGTTGAGTTGACCCTGACTCTTGGCCACCACATGTGTGTCAGGGTAGAACTGTGCTCATAGGTTCTCAATGGCTGACTTTTCAAAAGTAGATCACCGGGACTTTCTTCCGAGGCACCTCTGGGTGTACTCAAACTGCCAACCTTTTGGTTAGCAGCTGAGTGCACTGTTTGCACCACCCAGGACTCCATAGGAGGGGTGGACAAATCCAAAGACATCTGGCCTCTACCCGCCCTGACTGTGACTTAGAACAAGTGAAGACTTTTCTGAACCTCCATTTCCCCACCTGTTGAAAGGAGTCTATACCCAAACCAACTTCCCAGGGTGGTTCTGAGGTCTCCTTAGCTTGGTTCCTAACAAACAGTAGTGCCCTAAGTGGTAGCTACAATTATTGCTGATTTGATATTGTCTTAGAGTCTGAGACTTGCCCCTACTCCCACCAACTAGGGGGCCCTGCACTCCAGTCAAGGACCCCAAGGGTGGAATCCAGAATCCAGACCTACCGAGATGGTGCCTCTTCCGGTGCCACTGGCTTTGATCACTAGGTCATCTTGGGCTGAGAACTGCGGGAGGGAGGCAAGGGGAGGGGGATTTGAGGGCAGAGTAATAAGCAAAGTGTGGCTCAGTGTGGCTCAGGTGTAGTGGGGTGAGAGGCAAGCAGGCACCAGTGCTGGGGCCTCCGTGATTTCCCTAACTTTGTCCTCTGATGACTGCCCACCTCTCCCCATGCGGATGGCTTTTCCTTCTTGATAGAGCATGTATGGTGTCTACATTGTCACAGATCAACTAGAACCGTGGATCGAGGCTGTGTCCTGATGTAACCAGTAACCAGTTGCTGTCAAGTTGACTCTGACTCATGGCAACCTCACGTGTGTCAGAGTAGAACTATACTCCATAGGAGTTTCAATGGCTGATTTTTCAGAAGTATATCACCAGACCTTTCTTCTGAGACATGTCTGGGTGGACTCAAATCACCAACCTTTCAGTTAGCAGCCGAGCACGTTAACTGTTTGCACCACCCAGGGACTCTGTGTCCTAAAGGTTATCTCTCGAGTGTGTCTACTTTGCAGCATCTCCAAAATTCCTCATGTGTGGACCCCCCATGAGACTTTTCTCACCAGTATCTGCTCTTGTTTCCCCCATTTCATTCTCACATCAGGTAGAACAAATTTTTTAAATTCACATCCAATCACACCCCTGCTTAAGCCCATTTCCTATAGGATACACTTCTGAATCCTTGCCAGGCCCCCCCCAGCCCTCATGCTCTGAGCCCTGCCAACTTCTCCAGCTTCCTGTTAGGCCACTGTCCTGTGTGCACCCTCCCCTCCAGCCATTCCTGTGCCTGCCTCAGGGTCTCCACTCTATGCTGTTCCCTATGCCAGGAATGCTCCTCCCTATCCCTGTCCCCTTCATCTCGATAACTTCCTATTTATCCAGGCACCTCCAATGAGCATATGTGTGACCTAGGACAAGTTATTTTACTTGTCAGTCCCTCCATTTCCCCATCTCTAAAATGAGGTTAATAATAGTACCAACTTTATAGCATTGTTGTAAGGAATAGGTGGTATGCAAAAATAGAGGCTGGTACCTAGCTAACAAACATCAGTTGGTTCCATGTTGTATGTATCATAATTCTATTGTGATTATGGACATTAGTATGGTGTAAGTGAAATAATATTTTGCTTCTGCTCAGAACCCTCTATGGCTCTCACCTTTCAGAGTGAAAGTCAAAGTCCTCCCCGAGGCCCACAAGGCCCTGCTCTACCTGTGCCGTCACCTCCCTGCCGTCACCTCTGTCCACTCCCTGCTCACTCCTTTCCCTCCAGCCACATCAGCCTGCTTGCTGTTCTTGGAACCTTCCTGCCTCAGGACCTTTGCACTTGCTGTTTCCTCTGCCTAGATATATACAAGGCTTGCTCCCTCTTCTCCTTAAGGTCTTTGTTCAAATGTTACCTTCTTGGCAAGACCTTTCCCGCCCACTATATCTGAAATTACAACCTCTTGATGCCCCACCCCCTTTTTGGTTAATTTTTTCCCATGGGACTTACCACCATTTAACACACTACATATTCTAGTTATTCATTTCTTTATTGTCTGTCTCCCCCACTAAAATATAAAATTCTACAAGGGAGGGGATTTTGTGGTCTTGTTCAGGGCTGTGTTCTCAGAACCTAGAACATGCCTGGAATACAGTCAGTACTCAGTAAACCTGTGTCGAATGATTGAAGCTTAAATGCCAGCCTCTCATGGATATTTCCTTACCCTCTCACCAGGTTATTTTCCCCTTAAAAAAACAAACAAACAAAAACCAGTTGCCACTGACTTGACTCCGACTCATGGGGACAGTAGAACTGTGCTCCATAGGGTTTTCGATGGCTGAGTTTTTGGAGGTAGATTGCCAGGCCTTTCTCCCCAGGCACCTCTGGTTAGCAGTTGAGCACATTAACTCTTTGCACCACCCAGAGACTCCATTTTCTTCTGTACACACCCATTTCTCTTTTCCTCTGTTCAGAATGCTTAAAATGGTGTATTTTTAATGTCTTTGTTTCTTTCTATACTGTAAGCTCCGTGAGGGCAGGGGCCACAGATCTCTCATAATGTATCCCCACTGCCTCAGGGAGCACTTGGCACACAGTAGGTGCTCAGAAAATGTTTGTGGAATTAATGCATTGACAGTATAGCCAAATTTCCAACAGTTATGAGATAATTTTGGGGAGGGAGATGGCAGAAACGTGAAGCTTGGCCTCACCCTCAATGACACCTCTGTGTGGAGTTCCCTCTGCCCCTCAGTGTGGTACCTTTGCCCACAGCTGCTGGTAGACATTGTTCTGGTTAATGAGCCACTCCATGTTCCTGGCTGTCTTTGGGGAGCTGATCTGGACGCGGAGATCCTGAACACCGTCAAAGGGAACAGCTTCGCGGAAGCGGGTCAGGGCCTCGAGAGCCACAACCGTGGTCTGGAAGTTGAGAGAGGGGCTGCGGGTCAGCACCACAGACAGCGGCCCGGGCGCCCGCGGGTCATAGCGTCAGCACCACGGAGAGTTCATTCCGGGTTGGCCGTCCACTGAGCACCTCGGCTAGCGCGCCCTCCCACCCCGCCCCCAAGGCTGCCCCACCTCCTGAGGCCCGCGTCACCTGGGTGGTCTTGAAGCCCCCTCCCAGCTCCCGCTTCTCCAGTAGCCACTTGGCGATGGCATGCGTCTCACTGATCCGACCCAGCTCCAGCTTCTGCAGCAGCGCATAGGCCGTGGCCTCAATGGTATACAGGGAGTACGAATCCTTCTCTTTCACTGGCCAATGGGTTTTGTCTAGAAGAGGGATGCCCGTCTTTTCACCCAGAGCTGGGCCCAACCACCTCAATCTGCCTGCTCCTTGTGCTGTCTGGCCCAATTGTTCTCGTCTGCCATTTTATTGAGCACCTACTTTACATGAAGCCCTGTGCTGAGGAGGCATATGGGCACTGCGTTTTCAGAACAACTCGAGGAAAGAGGGACTCGAACTACTTAGAGATGAGGAAACTGAGGTTCAAAGAAGCTCCTCCGTGTCCCTCCAGTCCCACGGTAAGAGAGCTTTCCTTACCCTACTCCTCTTGACTTGGGGAATTGAGAGGACCAGATAAAGCCCCTTACGGGTTGAGAAAGGGCAGGCCATGGGAGGCAGAGCCCTCTCAGTTACCCACCTCTGTCCATCCTTGACCATGCCAATCATGTCCTCACTTTAGGGCATTTGTACATGCTGTTCCCTTTGCTTGGGATGCCCTTGGCCCTTCACATAGATGGGTCTTCCCATCGTTCATTCCAGCTGAAGGGTCACCTTTCACAAGGCCCTCCCAGTTCTCCCAATCCTTATTTCCCTCCCTTCTACCACAGACCTTGTTTGCCATCCTTTAAGCACTTACCTCAATTTGTAATTATAAATCTATCTGTTTGTTTTCTGCCTGCTTCCTCCAGGGACTGTGGACCGCTGAGGGCAGGGACCATATCTGTCTTGTTCATTTTAGTGTCTCTGGGTCTGAGCTCAAGGGTTGGCATGCAGTGTTGTTGTTAGCTGTCATGGAGTTAGCCCCTGACTCATTGCAACCCCATGCACAATGAAATCAAACTCTTGTCATCTGTACAGTTTTCATCGGCTGATTTTCTCAGAAGTAGATCACCAGGCCTTTCTTCCTAGTCTGTCTTAGTCTGCAAGCTACACTGAAACCTGTTCAGCATTGTAGCAACACGCAAACCTCCACGGACAGACAGGTGGTGGCTGTGCAGGTAGTGCATTGACCGGAAATCGAACCCGGGTCTCCCACATGGAAGGCAAGAATTCTACTACTGAACCACCACTGTCCTCTGGCACACAGTAGATGCTCAGTTAACACTAAGGGATGAGATACACATTGCTGGGTTTGAGCTCACACAAGCCCCCTCCCTCCCCATGACTGTGATTAAAACACAGTTATTTAAGAAGTGTCTCACACCTACCAAGGCTGGCAAAGGTGTCCAGGCGGTCATTGGCTCGGGGGCTGTTGGTGAGGGCCAGTGCGTAGGAGACTATGGCTATGGCAAAGGTAGTCTGAATGTCAGGGAGCTGTTTCTCCAGGAAGTCACGGGCTTTCTCCATGCTGGAAATCAAGTTCTAGGGAGTTAAAGGGAGGAGATCAGAGGGAAGTGATCAGAGGAAAGTGGTCTGGGAGCTAGAGGAGAGGGATCCACTCAGAGGAAGGGAGTGAGGTGAGGGGAGCTCCCTCTCCCAGGGGGTCAGACACCCTACAGATCCTGTCCCCTCTCTGGTTGTACAGTACTTTCTGGCTGCATAAATCCTTCCCCTGATTCAGGGCGATCAGGACAAGCGCCGTAAGGGATATGTCTGCCTCGGAGCCTCGGTAGCCGCTCTGTGGATACAGAAGCACACCCATGTCCCCGTCAGCATCTTGGGGACGCCTTCCCCAACCTCTCCTGCCTGACCTTGAAAAGCCCCCAGGTGCCCATCTTGGAGCTGGATGATGCTAGAGGTAGATGGGAGAGAGAAGAGGTGCTGTCTTTTTGGAGTTTGTCTGTGCCAGTTCTGCCCTATTGGCAAAAGCTAGCAGCCTGGAGGAGGCTGTGCTAAGCTCCCTACATTATCTCAGAGCATCCTCATGACAGCCCAACTTTACTGATGAGAAAATTGAGGGTCACAGAGGTGAAGTCTCCTTATTGTTAGTAAACGACTGACGCAGGGTTCAAACTCCTCTTTGATCTCCCAGCTTCCACCCTCACCCTTTGCAGTCTCTTCCTCCCACAATGGCCAATGGAACCTATGCACGCCTGAGTCAGGTCACATCCCTCCTCTGCTACAGCCCTCCCAGGGTTCCGCTTCACTCAAAGGAAAAACCAAAGCCCACAAGGCCCTACACCATGTGTTCCTGTTTTCTCCCTCACTGGAGGCTGGTATTGAAGAGTGCTTGGTGAGGATGGATGCGTTGGTTGGGAGAGAAGAGGGCCAGGTCTGGTGACTGCTTGATGTAGGGGTGAGGGAGAGATGGGGTCCCAGGTGTTCCTAGCCCCCCCCCCACAATGTAATGGAGCACAGGGTGGTCCAGAGCAGGGGATGCCATCCTAGGCATTCCTGCTCTCATTCTACCTGAGCAGTCAATGGTCTGGGATTCCCCCATTAATGGGCAGAGCCCAGGGTTTCTCTTGACTGGCCCAGGCAGGGGGGCGGTGAGCACCTGCATGGACTTCATGACCACAGGGCCCTTTTCCAGGAAGTGCCCATCCTCCGCCTGCCTCTGGGAAATGATCCAGTGAAGAATGGCACAGAGAGAGCTCAGCTGGATCACGCTGGTTGTCATGGTGGGGTAGGCCAGGGCGAAGATCCGGAACACATAGCTCGTGAGCCTGGCAGGAGGAAGGGTGATGACTGGGAATGGCAGCCAAGGGGGTCCTGGGACAGGGGTGTCTACACTGTCTCCAACCCATAGGGTAGTCTACACCATGGACCACACTGCTCCAGACCAACTCCCCACCCCCACCCCCGCCACTTCTCAGGTTGGCCAGTGTGGAACGCCACTGGCTAGTGGGCTGATCCTTGGGCTTCTTGTCCCAAGACCCTGCAGTGTGGCTGCTTCTGCGGGAATCAAGCCCCAGGGTAGCCCCTTGGCGTCTGGGGAGGTGGTGGCAGCTGTAATAGCAGCCATCTCACCAGGTGCTTCCTGGGTTTCCCTTGTGGATGTGGTAGGTACCATCTGCACTCCGGTGCGTCAGCATCCGGGTGTAACCTGGGGAAACAGGTGGAAGAAGACTTGCAGGGAGAGTTGGTGTTCAGGTGTGGCCTGTGATGGAGGGGCAGTCCAGTTATCAGGAATACCATGGAAGGCAGGGTCTAGGTGAGATTTCGGGGTGTGTGTCACATTTAGATATAACATGGGGGAAGAGGTTCATTGTCCAGGTATATTAAGGACGGGGCTGCTGGGCCGAGATGTAAATGAGGGGTTGTGGTTTAGGTGTGATCAGTGGGGGTGACAATACGCAGGTGTATCTTCAGGGAGGAGGGCAACTCTATGTGTTGCTGTCTGGGAGTAACCTGGTAAACCGCCATGCCGGGGTGCTCTGGGCAGGATCACTCTCTAGGTGTGACCTGGGCAGTTGCTGCCTGAAGTAATCCTGGAAGGTGTTGCCCAGGTATAACTTGGGAGAGCGTGTAACCTGAGGTCCACAATCTGGGGGTTGTTTTTTGGATGGAAACTAGGGGTATCAGTGTGTCTGTGTGTAGACTAGAGGAGGTTACTGCTGGGTGTAATCTGGGGGGACACCTCTTGAGCATATTCTGAGGATTATTGCTTGAGTATTACCGGAAGGTCACCTAGGGGTTTACTGTTTGTGTATAACATTGAGGCTTACAGTGTCTGGGTGTCACCTGAGGTTACTGATTGGAAGAACCTGGATGGAGTGAAACTTGAGAGAGAGGTCAGTGTCCAAATGAACTTGGGAGTCTTTATTTGGGGGGCAATCAGGGGCATCTATTTCTGATTGTTACCTGGGGGGTTTGGCTGTAGCTTCGGGAAATGTCAGTGTTCAGGTGTAATGGGGAAGTGACCACCTGGGACTATTCTAAGGATTTCTGCTTGCGTGTTCCCTGGGGTTACTTGAGGGTGTCAGTAACTGGGGGAGTGTCTGGTTATAACAGAACCTGGGGGGGGTTGCTGTTTGGGGTAAACCAGGGAGTCTGTTGTCAGATAATGGTCTGGGAGAGGGGTCAAGGTTCAGAAGTAACCTGGGATCACTGTTGGGGTCACCTGAGGTTGGTATCATGTTGTAATCTGGGAGAGGAATCAGAGTTTGGTGTAACTCAAGGGTTTATTGTCTTGGGGTCCCATGAGAGCCTCCCTCAACCCCAAGTGTACCCAGCGACCCACACTGAGTCCCCAGAGAGCTCCAGGCACCCTCCTGGGGACTCCAGGAGTGGACTGAGGGCCTCACCCCAACACTTGTGCTCTCACCGCTGACAATGTTCTTCATCACCTGGTCCCTGAGCTCCACCCCGACTTGGCCCCACTGGCCTGTGGTGTCCAAGTAGTGGGTCAGAATGATCAAAGGTGCCAGGGAGCTCATTGTCTGCTCGGGGCAGCCAGTCGGGACCCTCAGCAGCTGCTGCGTCTCTGTGGGTGTCAGGCTACCCAGGATGGTCTCACCAAGGATGTCACCTGTCAAATGGGCAGGTGGGGTCACCTAGGGAATGGCCTAAACTGCCTTGGCTCCACGATCACCCCACAGGCCCACCTCCAGCCCCTCTTGCCCCTGTGCCCAGGCAGGTCCTAGAGTAGCCAGCTCCACATCCCCTATCCCACCTCCCCATTCCCCCAAGACCAGCTGTCTCTTAGGCACCTTGGACGCTGACAAACAGTTCTGCCTCTGTGTCCGGCACCGTGTTCAAAATGTCCTGTCTTGGCACCAACTCTGTCTGCATCTGACCTAAGTAGGCACAACCTTCTGTGACAAGCAGGCTCTGGGGCTGGAGATGTCGGGGTGCACAAAGCATGGAGGAGCCTGGACTGCCCACCTGGCCAGACCCCCCCCCTCCCAAGCATGGCCCCAGGAAACCACACGCCCCATGCAGACCCCACAAACCTTGGGGGTTCAGGAGGATGCTATGGAACATTCGCTGTATCTGACCACCTGCCTGTGGGATGAGATGAGAAGGCAACAAAAACAATAATAACGGTAACGACAGTAAGAGGCAACATTGCTTAGCTATTAAGAACACAGACTCTAGAGCCTGACTGTCTGAGTTTGAATCCCAGCTCTTCTGCTTCCTAGTAGTGTGACCTTGGTCAAATTACTTAACCTGTCTGTGCCTCTGAAGGTGCCTTGGTGGCACAATGGTTAAGCGCTCAGCTGCTATCCAAAATGTAGGTGGTTCAAACTCACCAGCTGCTCCACAGGAGGAAGATGTGGCAGTCTGCTTCTGTAAAGATTATAGCCTTGGAAACCCTATGGGAAAGTTCTACACATCCCTACAGGGTCTCTGTGGGTCAAAATCGACTCTAAGCCAATGGGTTTGGGTTTCTGTGCCTGTGCTTTCTCATCTGTAAAATGGGGATAATAATAGTCCCTACCTTATGGGTTTGTTTTGAGAATTCAATGCGTTAATATTTTTAAAATGCTTAGAACTGTGCCTGGCATATCATAAGTGCAGAACATGTGTTTGTTAAGTAAACATATTATTGGTGGGTCAGACATTGGTTGTGTTTAATTTTCAGAGCTCTCTGATTATTTGTGAGCATGATTATTATCCCTATCCTGCAAATGAGGAAGTGGGGGCTCAGAGAAGTTAAGTAAGGTGTCCCAGGTCACACAGCAGAGAGATTTGAAACCAGGCCTGACTCCAAAGCCCCTAGGCAGGGACTCTGTGACCCCTCAAGCCAGTCCACCCACTGAACTTTCAAATCCATTCTCTCTAAAGCCTCACTCCCATCTGGGAGCCTGTTTATTGATCTTGCCCCTCCCACACCCACACAGCCCGGGTTGCCCGTTACCTGGACCAAGAGTGTCTTCTTCACGTGGTCCTGAATCCCACTGCCCACAACCTTGACCTCCACATCCACTTTGCCTGTCTCAAGAGGGAGAATCACAAAGTGCACCATCTTGGAGGAGGTGGGGGGCACGACAACCACTTGGCGGGATGGGGCTCCTGGCTTCGACGCGCTGCACAGGGGCTCTTTGTAGGGGAGCTCCACGCGGACCTGGGGCAGGATGGGCAGTTAGGGGGTCCTGCTGCATGGGGTGGCGCAGGACCATGGGGTCACAGCCCCTTTCCCGCCCCTGCCCCAAGGAGCCTGAGAAGGTGACACATAGCATAGGGTTGAAAGCACAGACCCTGGTGTCAAACCACCTGGTTTCAAACTCCCTTCTGCCACTTATGTGCTGTGTGGCCTCAAGCAAGCCCGTTAACCTCTCTGTGCCTCAGTTTCCTCATCTCTAAACCAAGGACAAGGAGCCCTGGTAGTACAGTGGTTAAGCACTAAGCTGCTAACTGAAAGGTTGGCAGTTCCAACCCGCCAGCCGCTTCGTGGGAGAAACGTGTGGCAGTCTGCTTCCATAAAGATTTACAGCTTTGGAAACCCCATGTGGCAGTTCTACTCTGTCCTATAAGGTTGCTATGAGTCAGAATCAACTTGACAGCAATGGGTTTGGTTTGGGAAACCAATGATAATACTAGTACCCACCTGATGGGGTTATTGGGAGGTTTAAATGAGAAAAGACCTTAGAAGCTTTTCAAAAGGACCACCACTTCACTAACCTGTTGGAATAATTGATAGCTTTCTTCCGTTTATAAAACACACTGGCTGCTCTGACAGATGAAACACTCGGGGAGGGAAAGGCTCGGGCTCACCTTGACCTGGCGGTCCCTGAAATTGTACAGCACAGCTTGGATCTGGACCTGCTCGTTCCTGACCACGGAGATGGGCAACTTAAGGTCCACAAAGAACGATTTCATAACTGTCAGCTCAAAGGGGTCTGAGACACAGATTCCTAAAGCGAGGAGAATATGTTGGGGTTAAGCAGAGGCCACTTGGCCTCGGGCTGGGCAGGGCCACTGGGCTTGTGGGATCACCTTGTCCAGCTTTGAGGCTGACGGCTACAAACTGCCACGTGGTGATGGAATCTGGCAGGTTCCTAAGGATGGTGTAGTGGGAGAGGCTGCTGGAACGGAGGAGAGCATCACTGAGTTTGTGCTGCCTGGACAGAGCCACTGGCTTGAGGGAAATTATTGGGGGTCATTGTCCCCTCATTGACCCCATTAGAGACATCATCACTAGAGGGTCATCATTTTGGGGGACCCACTGGAATCTTTATTCCCATCCAGGAGGCCTCCTCTCTTGGGACTATCCTAGGAGGGTCAATGTCACTCCTGCGATCATTGTCCATAATCAGGGTTCACTGATGCACAAGGTCCAGGGACCAGGTGCTGGCATGGGGCTGTGGTCCTACCCTGAGCCACTTTTTGGCAGAGAAAACTTCCTCCAGAGCCAGCTCTCTGGGAACAAGGTCCGGATGGGCATGTCGTCATCCAGGAACATGTCATCAAAGTCCTCTTCTTCATCCACTGCAGGGGGAGTGGAGATGTGGGCCCTCTATGGCCCCCAGTGTAGTCTCTGTCAGGTCTCTCCCACGGCCCTTTGGACTCCTCAGTGAGCTCCTTCCACCCCATCCCCCCTATGGTTCATATCACCCCTGGACTGGTCCCATGGTGCTCCATAGCCCCTCTGTGAAGTCCACCACCATTTGTCTTTTGCTGTGGCCCCCTCACTTGTCCCTAGAAGCAGCTGCTCCTCCCGGGCCTCCCGAGTCAGGGTTTCCGACAGACGGCAGCAGCTCAGGAACGCGGCCACACAGACGGGGCCGTAGCGGACGTGCCGGGTCCTCTCCTCACACGACAGCCCCACTGGGCTCTCCCGGAGCCCGGCCTCACAGCACTTTCTTTCCAGCTCTGTCTTGAATTCATTCACTGTGAGCAGAGTTAGAGCGAGAGGAGGGGCTGGGCGGGCCTTGAGGAAGCTGGGACCAAACCACCCTTAATGCCACCCACACCTTTCTTCTCTTCAGTCATGACTGTCCCTGGGTGATACAAATTGTTAACACACTTGGCTGCTAACCAAAAACTTGGATGTTTAAGTCCGCTTAGAGGGACCTCAGAAGAAAGGCCTGGTGTTCTACTTCAGAAAAATCAGCCACTGCAAACCCTATGCAGCACAGTTCTACTCTGACACATGTGGTATTGCCATGAGTCAGAATCGACTCCATGGCAACTGGCAACTGGTGTCAGTCACTGTGCCTAGTGCCTTGCATGGATCTTCTCCCTGAATCCTCACACTGAAACCAGGTGGTGAATTCTGATGAGGATACTGAGCTATGGAGAGGTGAACTCACTTGCCCAGAGTCACACAGATCGCAAGTGGCAGAGCTGGGATTAGAATCCACCCAGCACCCAGGGCTGCCTCCCATCTTCCTGACCCCAGACTCAGAGATGCTTCTTTCTGTCCACATCCTGGCCTTGGGGATGGTGGGTGTGCTAGATGTCGTCAGCCGGCATGGAGCACTCATTTCTCCTCTCATCTATGATCCCTCCTATGTCACAGAGGCTGTTGTTGCTAGCTGCCGTCAAGTCAGCTCTCAACTCATGGTGAACCCATGCACAACAGGAGTGGACTGTCGTGATCCATAGTTTTCACTGGCTGATTTTTCGCAAGTAGATGACCAGTCCGTTCTTCCTAGTCTGTCTTAGTCTGGAAGCTCTGCTGAAACCTGTTTAGCGGCACAGCAACGTGAAAACCTCCTCTGACAGACTAGTGGTGGCTGTGCTTCAGGCGCATTTGTCAGAAACTGAATTTGGGTCCCTGCATGGAAGACTAGAATTCTACCACTGAGCCACCACTGCCCTCATCATAGAGGCTAGACATCTAAAAACTACACTTCCCAGATGCCCTTGCTGCTAGGCTTCTGGGTAAGATTTAGATTGTGTCACTGAGATACTTTTGTGTAAGACCTGGAAAGTGGAAGAGAAGCAAGATCACCTTCCCTGCAGTGGTGGTAGCTGATGGGTGGGCTTTAGTCCATGTGTGCTTTTGCATGGACATAATTCCATGTTCCACTGTCTGCCCATCAACCTCATGAGAGACATTGGCTGCAGTTTCCTGAGATTTTCTGGATAGTAAAAACTGCAGCTGGGTGATCTTGAGTCCTAGCAAAGAGCCTCCCAACTTCCACTCCTATAGCTCTTCTAATGGTTTTATAAGCGTCAAACTCCCTTTATTAAGTCTCTTCCTGCTTGAAGTACCTAGAGTGATTTCAGTTTCCTGTTCTAAGCCCTGATAATACAGTAGGTTGGGAAGCTTCGTCTCTAACCTGCGTTCCTCTTCTTCTCCAGTCTCTTTAGAGAGCGGCGGTGGCGGCTAGGAGGGAGGCTCTGGGGGCAGTGCCAGTCTGGGGGTCAGAGGGAAAAGTGAGAACTGAAAGGGCAATTGTTAAGATCATTATGAACATCCTTGATGATATTAAATTGAGTGCTTACTGTATGCTCAGTGCTTTTATATGCGTCACCTCACTTCATCCTGCAGTCTCTTCATATTCAGGATTCACCACTTAAAAGCTGTGTGCCCTAGAGAAAGTCCCTTAACCTCTCTGGGCCTTAATTTCCCTAGCTGTGTAAAATGCGTATGCTATAGCTTTATCAATAAGGTTATGCATATAAAAGTACTTAGCACAGGGTCCAACATGTAGTAAATAGAAACGGTTATTAATATCATTATTTACAGCTAAAAGAAGAGACTCCTAGTTGTCCCCAATATCCATTCTGCTCACTCTTCTGTAGCAATTAAACCATCATCTTTTATATATCACCCAGGATAAAGACTACATTTCTCAGCCTCCCTAGGTAGGGCCGTGTGACTGAGTTCTAGCAAATGAGATATGAGAGAAGTATCTTTTCCTTTCTCCTTCCCTGCATCCCGCTGCCTGGCATGAGGTCATGGTCTACCATCTTGGAATATGGCAAAACAACAAGCTAGAAGGAGCCTGTGTCCCTGGACAGTTACTAAATGAGGAATAGACTTCTACCTTGTCAAAGCCACTGTTAATTTGTATCTCTGATACACATGGCCAAACCTATATCTTAATGAACACACAGTAAAGTTAGCTCTATTATCCTCATTTTAGGGATAAAGAAAATGAGACCCAGAAAGGGATGTGACTGGTCTGCATTAAGTAGAAGGGTCTGGATTTTAACCTGTGTCTATTTGACTCCAAAGACCATGTTCCTAACCATTAAGCAGCACTGCCCCATGCCTGCCCTCCTCCTGTCCCTCCCTCCCAGTCTGTACCTGAGTCTGCCAGGGTGCTCATCCCTGTGCTGATTTTTAGGTCCAATCCAGCGTCCTTGAACACACCAAGTCTGTCTTTCCCACTGCCTGCTGTACAGCCAATGTCATGCTTCTCCACCACATCCCAGACCTGAGGGTCAAGAGAGGAACCTGGATTTGGGAACTGTATGACCCCTCTAGGGAAGGAGCAACAGTGCATGGTAATTGCTGGCCCAAATAATAATTCTCACACCATGTATCATTTAGTGAGCTCTTACCACCTGCCAGTTGCTATGCTGTGCACCATCCCCTTGAATCCTCACAACCATTGATGTTGCCCATTTTACAGCTGAAGAAGCCAAGGCTCCAGCTAGAGTCCCCAGGCAGCCTCTTGGCCCAAAGCCCATATCCTCTCACCTTCTTCTGAGTGAGCTTGTGTTTGCTGTTCAAAACATACACAGCCTTGTCCACAGCCACTAGCCCCACTGTGGCCTCTGCATCACCTGTCACCTTCAGTTCCACCTGACTGTTGGGCTCAAAATGATGGAAGATTCCTTCATTCTTCAAGCCAACCTTCAGCTGAGCCAGGAGAAAGAGAGGTGTCAGGGAGAGGGGCCCATAGGCTTCCTAGGGGCTGCCCCAACTCCAGTTTCAGGTCATTCCCCCTATTGTTCTTGTGGAGCATCTGGGAACCCCACCAGGCCAATTGCAAGTCCACACATTTATTTGCATCTTAGTCACCCCCTAGGTTGAGCTCTTAGGGCCACATCCCCTCATCTTCCTCTCCCCTTTCCCCCAGACTGGGAGCCCCTGAACTTGTACAGAACATTTCTGGAGCTTTATGATGGTGATGTACAACTTCAAGGCACTTGTCTCACCGTTCCCATGCATCTGTCATTCACATCAATCCATATGGAATCAGCCACCAGCTCAGGGTCCTGGCTTGCTCCCCTGGGCAGTAAATAAAAGGCCAGGATGCGGAAGGAGGGCAGCATCTCTGGAGTCACATCAATAATGGTTGATGTGTAGACTCCTCCCTGGCTTTTTAGCTGATGTTTGGCATACACGATCTGACCCTTACTCAGGACCTTGGAGACAAGGGAGGCCAAGATGAGAATGGTGGGGCCATTCCTTCCCTGAGGCTGTCTCAGCCCACCAGGAGGGCCCACAGTCCCTTTGCTTCAGCTACTTGATCTGAACCCACCCCAGATTATTCCCACTTTCACACCTTTGCTCATAGTTCCTCCAACCCAGCTAGTCAGAGTTATTCCAGGGAAAGAATTCCTTGGCTCAGGCCCTGGTCCTATCCCCTCACCAGCAGGGTGAAGTAGGTGATCTTGTTCTTGGTTCTTGGGTCCTGATGCCTTGTGTTGAGACTCAGATGGATGCTGCTGCCGACTTCTGTGCCCAACGTCTTTACCTCAATATGCAGGAAGTTCCCTGACTCATTCTGAGTTGAGTAAGGCTGAGCCATCATCCTGGCTGATGCCTGCTCCTCTGGCCGGAGAGGCTCATCAGTTTCTACCTAGGGAGAGGGATGGACAAGTAAACCCCCACATTTCCAGCTCACACAGCTCCAATCCCACCATCCCTGCCCTATCAGGTTGGTACCAGGATGTTGAGCTGGTTCAGAACTGCCTCTGTATTGATGGTCAGAGCAGCCACCCCATCGACTGAGGTGTGCACTTTGTGGTCTTGGCTGCGGATGAGGACTCTGGAGGCTGGGGACCCATCAGGGTTTGAGACAAAAACCTAGGATGAAATCTGGGATGAGATGAAGGACAGGCCTGGGCGTGGCCTGGCATGAGAGGTGGGAACTAGGAATGCAATCTGAATAGGCCTGCCTTGTACACCAGGAGCACCATTCATATTAGAGTCTCTATGAATGGCACCCCCTAGAGTTTTTCAGTGCACAACTCTATATGGGGCCCTGGATTTTGGTGTGCCCTAGGGGGAGAATTGAGGGTGGAGGGGATAGAAGGAGACATAGAGGATTGCAGAAAACATACAGTAGGGTTATCACCCAGGGATGGCTTTAGCCTTCCTAATGCCCCTCAGACAACTCAAAGTCACTCAAAGTCACCCCCAAATTAAAGTATGTAAAAACAGCAAACTTGCTGTGCAAGATGAACTTTCAAGCACCACCTTCCAGCCTGACTGTGGCCCCTGAGCCCTCTGTAGAGAAACTCTGGATCCATCACTCA